GACAAGTTTGTGTCCCACACCAAAAATCCTTTGGCCACTGAAGTGGGTGAACTGGTATCAGTTTTTTCTGATCTATGCCTTGCCTGCACTTCATCTCCTTCCTCACCTGTTACACAGGATAAAGGTGGCATTACTGATCACACTGGCCTAGCCAAGAAGAATGTGGCATGAAAACATCGTAGACCTCTTGGCAGCCAAGCTGTGGACTCCTCCAGACCGGCAGTCTCAGGGTATGATATTCCATTCTACTTTTTGGTCACTGACTTTGACAGCATGGCTGTGGTGTGCCATCGTACTTGGAGGGCTTATTTCACTTGGCGTGAAGTTTCATTCTTGAAAGTATGTCATGGGGCATACTACAACTATCCAGTCTTGTCCACACATGTCCTTGGCTTTGAGTACCATCAAGGGACAAATCTCAACAATGGACATGCTTTCTCAGATACCTGTTGCACCACATTCCTTAGTTCATTTAATTTGGAGTGTAAGTATTTCCTGGCCCATTCAGCATCAAGCTTCTGTTTTTCAATAGTAAGGCTGCTACTTGGTCTTGTCTTCATATGTTTAGGAAGTTCTACCAGGTTGATGTTTTTGCCTGTGTCGGAGCTGGTTTCAGAGGAAGGATTTTGCAGGCAGCATTGTAAGGAGGTCCTCTGGGAAATTTGGACTTGTTGCCCTTGTTGCTGTGTTGTTCACCCCTCAGATTCATTGGTTTGGGTCATACTAATAACTCTCTTGTGTCCTGTGATATACAACTAAGAAATTAAGTTTTTGGTTTACCTATAAAATCCTTTTCTTGGCGTACATCACAAGACACAGAGACCCTTCCCTTCTGGCTTGTGTTCCTTTATTGCTTGCTACAGAACTGAGGCTTAACTGAGCTGGGAGGGGTTATGTTTGGGAGGGGACTCCTGCCTTTTTTTTGGACAGTGTCCATTCACCTGAAGGTGGCAGCGTAACCCATGTAGTTACATAGTTAGTATGGCTGAAAAAAGACAAAAGTCCATCCAGTTCAACCATATAAAAAAAAAAAAAAGTTATAATATTACACCCACAGTTAATCCAGAGGAAGGCAAAGAACCCAGCAAGCATGATCCAATTTACTTCTGCAGGTGAAAAAATTCCTGCCTGATCCCCGAGAGGCAATCGGATATTCCCTGGATCAACTTTACCTATAAATGTCAGTGACCAGTTATATTCTGTGTATCCAAGAAAGAATCCAGGCATTTTATAAAGCAATCCACTGAGCTGGCCAAAACCAACTCTTAAGGGAGTCTATTCCACATTTTCACAACTCTTACTGTGAAGAAACCTTTCCGTGTTTGGAGATTACATTTCTTTTCCTCCAAACGTAAAGAGTGCCCCCTTGTCCTCTGTGATGACCTCAAGGTGAATGACTCTACACCAAGTTTATTATATGAACCACTGATGTATTTATACATGTTGATCATATCCTCCCTTAATCTCCTCTTCTCAAGAGAGAATAAATTCAGTTCCTCTAATCTTTCCTCATAGCTGATCTCCTCCATGCCTCTTATCAGTTTGGTTGCCCTTCTCTGTACTTTCTTCAGTTCCCCAATGTTCTTTTTTGTGAATTGGTGCCCAAAACTGAACTACATATTCCAGATGAGGTCTTACTAATGATTTGTACAGGGGTAGAATGATATCCCTCTCTCTGGAGTCTTTACCTCTTTTAATACAATAATGCTTGCTTTAGAAACTGCAGCTTGGCATTGCATGCCATTATTAAGCTTATGATCTACCAGAATTCCCTGTAGTAATGAACTTTAACTCCTCTGTGTGCTGTGATGTACTCCAATAAAAGAATTTTACAGATAAACCAAAAATTCTAATATATAGATATATACTATATTGCCAAAAGTATTGAGACACCTGCCGTTACATGCACATGAGCTTTAATGGCATCCCAGTCTTAGTCCATACGGTTCAATATTGAGTCGGCCCACCCTTTACAACCATAACAGCTTCAACTCTTCTGAGAAGGCTGTCCACAAGGCTTAGGAGTGTGTCTATCAGAATGATTGACCATTCTTCCAGAAGCGCATTTGTGAGGTCAGGCACTGATGTTGGACGAGAAGGCCTGGCTCACAGTCTCCACTCTAATTAATCCTAAAGGTGCTCTATCAGGTTTAGCTCAGGACTCCAAGTCAAGTTCCTCCTCTATATCTTTATGGACCTTGCTTTGTGCACTGGTGTGCAGTCATGTTAGAACAGAAAGGGGCCAACCCAAACTGTTCCCACAAAGTTGAGAGCATGAAATTGTCCAAAATGTCTTGGTATGTTGACACCTTAAGAATTCCCTTCAGTGGAACTAAGGGGCCAAGCCCAGCCCCTGAAAAACAACCCCACATCATAATCTCCCCTCCACCAAACTTTACATTTGGCACAATGCAGTCAGGCAAGTACCGTTCTCCTGGCAACCATCAAACCAAGACACTTCCATCAGATTGACAGACAGAGAAGCGTGATTTGTCACTCAAGAGAAGCGTGATTCGTCACTCCACTCTTTACACTACTGCATCTGACGCTTTGCATTGCACTTGGTGATGTAAGGCTTGGTTGCAGCTGCTCGGCCATGGAAACCCATTCTATGAAGCTCTCTATGCACTGTTGTTGTGTTAATCTGAAGGCCACATGAAGTTTGGAGGTCTTTATCTATTGACTCTGCAGACAGTTGGCGACTTCTGCACACTGTGTGCTTTAGTATGCGCTGACCTCGCTCTTTCATTTTACGTGGCCTACCACTTCGTGGCTGAGTTGCTGTTGTTCCCAATTGCTTCCTCTTTGTTATAATACCACTAACAGTTGACCATAGAATATTTAGTAGGAAAGAAATTTCACGGATAGACTTATTGCACAGTTGTCAACCTATCACGGTACCGCATTTGAATTCACTGAGCTCCTGAGAGCGACCCATTCTTTCGCAAATGTTTGTAGAAGCAATCTGCATGTCTAGGTGCCTGATTTTATACACCTGTGGCCAAGGAGGTGACTGGAACACCTGATTCCAATGATTTGGAGGGGTGTCCCAATATGTTTGGCAATATAGTGTATATACAGTCAGGTCCATAAATATTGGGACATCGACACAATTCTAACATTTTTGGCTCTATACACCACCACAATGGATTTGAAATGAAACGAACAAGATGTGCTTTAACTGCAGACTGTCAGCTTTAATTTGAGGGTATTTACATCCAAATCAGGTGAACGGTGTAGGAATTACAACAGTTTGCATATGTGCCTCCCACTTGTTAAGGGACCAAAAGTAATGGGACAATTGGCTTCTCAGCTGTTCCATGGCCAGGTGTGTGTTATTTCCTTATTATCCCAATTACAATGAGCAGATAAAAGGTCCAGAGTTCATTTCAAGTGTGCTATTTGCATTTGGAATCTGTTGCTGTCAACTCTCAAGATGAGATCCAAAGAGCTGTCACTATCAGTGAAGAAAGCCATCATTAGGCTGAAAAAAACAAAACAAACCCATCAGAGAGATAGCAAAAACATTAGGCGTGGCCAAAACAACTGTTTGGAACATTCTTAAAAAGAAGGAACGCACCAGTGAGCTCAGCAACACCAAAAGACCCGGAAGACCATGGAAAACAACTGTGGTGGATGACCGAAGAATTCTTTCCCTGGTGAAGAAAACACCCTTCACAACAGTTGGCCAGATCAAGAACACTCTCCAGGAGGTAGGTGTATGTGTGTCAAAGTCAACAATCAAGAGAAGACTTCACCAGAGTGAATACAGAGGGTTCACCACAAGATGGAAACCATTGGTGAGCCTCAAAAACAGGAAGGCCAGATTAGAGTTTGCCAAACGGCATCTAAAAAAGCCTTCACAGTTCTGGAACAACATCCTATGGACAGATGAGACCGAGATCAACTTGTACCAGAGTGATGGGAAGAGAAGAGTATGGAGAAGGAAAGGAACTGCTCATGATCCTAAGCATACCACCTCATCAGTGAAGCATGGTGGTGGTAGTGTCATGGCATGGGCATGTATGGCTGCCAATGGAACTGGTTCTCTTGTATTTATTGATGATGTGACTGCTGACAAAAGCAGCAGGATGAATTGTGAAGTGTTTTGGGAATATTATCTGCTCATATTCAGCCAAATGCTTCACAACTCATTGGACGCCGCTTCACAGTGCAGATGGACAATGACCCAAAGCATACTGCAAAAGCAACCAAAGAGTTTTTTAAGGGAAAGAAGTGGAATGTTATGCAATGGCCAAGTCAATCACCTGACCTGAATCCGATTGAGCATGCATTTCACTTGCTGAAGACAAAACTGAAGGGAAAATGCCCCTAGAACAAGCAGGAACTGAAGACAGTTGCAGTAGAGGCCTGGCAGAGCATCACCAGGGATGAAACCCAGCGTCTGGTGATGTCTATGCGTTCCAGACTTCAGGCTGTAATTGACTGCAAAGGATTTGCAACCAAGTATTAAAAAGTGAAAGTTTGATTTATGATTATTATTCTGTCCCATTACTTTTGGTCCCATAACAAGTGGGAGGCACCTGTGCAAACTGTTGTAATTCCTACACCGTTCACCTGATTTGGATGTAAATACCCTCAAATTAAAGCTGACAGTCTGCAGTTAAAGCACATCTTGTTCGTTTCATTTCAAATCCATTGTGGTGGTGTATAGAGCCAAAAATGTTAGAGTTGTGTCAATGTCCCAATATTTATGGACCTGACTGTATGCTGCTGAGAATGCCTTTGGAAATGTCCAAGACAAAAAAGAGATACCTTTGTCCTCCAGGCTCAGAACTGAGAGCCCGATCGTGTAAAAAAATAATTCTTAAAATGCCAAGAGAGGAGGCAAAGCCCCTTAATAAGCAGTACTACCGGAAAGTAAGAAAATGAGTAGGGAATATGATTGGACTGCACCATTTCTCATAGTTACTATGATGCTTTTCCATGTATGTTTGTGAAAGAGAAAAACACTTTAATGCTTTTGTTATGTATTACAGTGATTCTTCACAGTTGGAGGATGGAAACAAAATAGAACCAGAGAAGAAAGTTTACAATTGGAACACAAAGGATGAAGCAAAGCAATTGTTCAAAGAACTACTAAAAGACAAGGTGGGGGTGACAGCTGCAAGTGCAGACATTTTAGTAAAATGTGCAAAATAGATATAAAATATTAGGCAGATACAGTAAATTAAAATGAACGGTCATTTAATGATGAATGACCTGAGAGTTGTGGATATGTCATTTAATGTAAATTGAAAGAAAATGTACTCTGGACAAAAAAACTGAGTTAGATCATTTGCAAGAAAGGTCTGACTCTACTTGTATTTTATGATTAACTGTGCACAGCGAAATGCATAGTTACAGGTTTAGATTAGATGCTGTATATACATATATAATTTTTTTTGACTGTCATTATGTAAAATACATATTTTTAGTTGTTTATAATACAGGAGTGATATTTTACCCTCAAAGTATTCCTCGTAGTCACTTATATTACCTTACTAAGTTATCATATTGTTCATCTGCAGGGGGTTCCTTCCAATGCCTCATGGGAACATGCAATGAAAATGATTATAAATGATCCCCGCTACAGGTATTAGTCTTGTTCTATATAAAGATATTTTGATCAGGTGAATGTACACTTATATCTATATGGCTGACTATTCATGTTAGAAACTACTGCTAACCCTGTATGTCTGGCTGCTGCAACTCTCAAACAAGTATGTTATAGTGTCACTTATCTGCCCCTAATCTCCCCTTGAGAGGAGAGGTAGATAAATGACAATATCACTTCCCTGCATGAGAGCCTTAACTCTGCAGGGCAGGAAATATAGAGATAGATGTACTTTTCAGCATGCATGATAGTTTGCGTTTTACACAAGAAAGCAATGATCTGGGTGTTGGATCAACCTCATTAGAGTTAACGTTTTTATACACACCACAAGACTCAAAAACCTTTCTGCCTGGAGTTCTGTTTTGAAGCATCAATAATTCTCTTTCATTAATTGAAGGGCACAGTTTGTCTTAATAATGGATGGGTTGGATGGTGCCACCTTCAAGAGCAGGATACCAAATTAAAAGCAAGCCTAAGGGGTGGCCCCTTGGAGGTTGCCATACACCCCCATCTGCAACACAGGAATTTTACTCCCTGATTTGTTGTTTCGGTTTATGGGCCCACCCTTCTTCTTCATGGCACTGCTTTGGATCGTCCCATTCATTATGAAGAAAAGCTGTGTCCTTCAGTGAACGACAGAGAAATTGGGATTTTTGTACTTGCCATAAAATCATTTTCTCTGAGTTTATTGAAGGACACACCACCAACCCAGCCTCTTTTTGGCTGCCTCAGTGTCATAGTCCTGGTACTGCTGGCTATGAACCTAATTCTGTGTGCAAGGGCACCCTTTAGGTGTGCTTTTAATTTAGTTGCACCTAGCATCCTGCTTCTGAAGGTGGCAACGTCAAACCCATCTGTTATGAAGTAAAGCTGTGTCCATCAATGAACTCAAAGAAAGGGATTTTACGGTAATAAAAAATAAAAACATTTTTGCTTTGAAAATATTTTAAAAAATTTGCTTCTTTTAATAATTGTGTATTAAACTTAAATACCTATAGTACAGAAAGGAACCCCCCCCCAAAAAAAAAAAACAAGTCTGCGATAGAGAGGGATGACTTTTTTGCATGTTCAAGGCCAGTATATTGTATTATAAATTGCTCAGAGAGTTGATAAGAATGCATTTATGTTTGGCCAACCAAACAATGGCACACATGGCAAAGGAGATAGGTACAGGTTTGGCCAAAAGGATGACATCAACTCAGATCATGTAGCATGAGTCACTTGTGGGCCAATTAACAATTGTTTTATTAAAGCAGTTTTCAATCTCATGTCCTGGTGCTGTGTTTACCTCACCAAAACAATGTACAAAACAACTGACACAAAGCTAAATTATCCACTTGCCGCTAAATCACGTACAAGTACCTGATTGTGTTCAAGTGGTGATACTGGGGTTATTGCTGCAGCTGGCAGCCAAAATAACCCTGGTATCAACATTTTCAGCCAACAATTATCTTCCTTATAAAAGCGATCCAAGCCGCTGGATAACTTTTGCAAGCAGCGGAAGAAGTCATCCCCCCATCCCTCGCAGTTCTCCCATGACCGTACATTGTTTTTTCCGACGCCACCGGGGAGTCTGGGATCCAATCCAAGGATTGCAGCCAAAGATGATAGAGGTGACTGGATCATCTCCAGTTACCGGGGGGGAGGGGGTTAAGCATGCAATCAAGGTTTTTTTGTTTTTTTTTTGGGGGGGGGGGGGGGTTTTTTTTTTGTTTTGTTTTGTTTTAGATCTCATTCTTTCAAGAGTAGAAGAGAGATCTGGGTCCCTCAGATGTCTCCATAAAGAGGACTTCTCATATTTTATTGCTATCACAGGTGATTTCTTGTGATAGCAATAAAAATGATCCAAAAAAATTTAAAGGGACAGTGTAAAAAATAAAATTTTTTAAATAAAATAAATTTAAAAAAAAGAGGCAAAAACATATGTAGGTCATGTACGTATATGTAAACAGTGTTGAATGTTATAGCAAGAGCAATAGTTCTAGCTACCTTTTTCCCAAATGGAAAAAAACTTGTTTTCTTTAACTGCATTTAAATTGTTAGGAGTTCAGCTTACCAGTAAAGTATACCAAAGGCAAACCTTTTTTTTAGTTTATGACAGAGTGGAGATGTATTAGAACACCTTATCCTCTCTATTTGTCCTGTTTACTGTTAAAGAAGGTGAAAGTAAAAGAAAATTTTAAAATTTGGTTGGTCCCTAGAACAGTATGAGAGGCAAAATTTTTCAATGGGGACCTGGGGGGGGGGGGGGGGCCCAATGGATTCCCTTAATTTGCAGGGATTTTCCTCTGATTTCCTCTTCTAGCTATGGGACAGGAAGTGAAGGTAAATCTCTCCAGTGGGACAAAGATGACAAAATAAACTGACAGGGATTATTACCCTCCCTTACACTATCCAAAATGAAGAAATATTAAGCCTTTAGTTCTACTTTAATTTGTTAATCAAGTCCATCTAAATCTACTAGTCTTTCTCCTGGTTCATATATGTGCGATTTGCGCGGGCACGAGAGCCCATTCATTTGAATGGACTATCATGCCCCGGAACACGAAGGGAAGAAGTGCACTACTGCACTACTTGGGAAATTGCAGCCTGCATGGAAACAGGGGTTCCCAGTATGGTTGCGAATCCCAGTGCGGGCGGCATGCCATTCGAATTAATGGCACCCGCCTACATTCCTCTGTGTGGGTGGTGCGGCAGCAGTTATTTGTGCAGGTCCCTCAGCAGCACCACACATACAGATGTGAACCAAGCCTTATACTACCCTCTCCCCAGAATGACAATGCTGCTGTCCATATGTGTCTGCTTTACTATTTCATTCAGAATGAAGACACCCTAAAACAGGTCAAGCATTACTGTCTGGATCACCAAGTAAAATAAACTCAAAAAATAAAACAAATGCATCCACCACATCTAAGGATTGGTAAACTGCACTATAACATCCAGGGAATACATTGAAAGCTCAGTAAATCCTGTTGTCTTTTTACTAAAGAACAAAATTGTGAACTGAATTTTCTAGAAAACATAATGCCTAACCTCATGGGGCAGCCATCACCAAACAAGCATCTTACACAACTAAGCTGTGGATTTGCAGTAAAGTTGCCTGATGTCTTCTCTATTGAAACAAATTGGAATATGGTTACTGCCAGTGAACGCTAGTCTTAAAATTAGTGGGGAACTGGCAGTCCAAATAATAAATACGTGAAATCCAGGGACTTTGGACTAGTGCTTGTGTTTAGCTTTTAGAGCATTGTCAAACATGTGCATTGAGACACCTCTGGCATCAGCTTATAAAGGAAAAAAATCATAGCATTCCCATAACAAGCCTCAGTCAAGAGTGCCAACGGATAGCTCATACATATATACAGTAGATATATATATATATATATATATATATATATATATATATACAGTGGATGTAAAAAGTCTATACACCCCTGTTAAAATGTCAGATTTCTGTGATGTAAAAAAAAATGAGACAAAGATAAATCATTTTGAGGGTGGAAGTAAACATAAAAAACTAAAATTATTCAGTTGCATAAGTGTGCACACCCTCTTATAACTGGGGATGTAGCTGTGTTCAGAATTAAGCAATTACATTCAAAATCATGTAAATAGGAGTCAGTACACACCTGCCATCATTTAAAGTGCCTCTGATTAACCCCAAATAAAGTTCAGCTGTTCTAGTAGGTCTTTCCTGACATTTTCTTAGTTGCATCCTACAGCAAAAGCCATGGGCTGCAGAGAGCATCAAAAGCATCTCATTGTTAAAAGATATCAGTCAGAAGAGGGTACAAAAGAATTTCCAAGGTATTAGATATGCCATGTAACACAGTGAAGACAGTCATCATCAAGTGAGAAAATATGGCGCAACAGTGACATTACCAAGAACCGGACATCCCTCCAAAATTGATGAAAAGACAAGAAGAAAACTGGTCTGGGAGGCTGCCAATAGACCTACAGCAACATTAAAGGTGCTGCAGGAATATCTGGCAAGTACTGGCTTTGTGGTAGATGTGACAGCAATCTCCTGTGTCTGGGGTATGGGGTAGAGTGGCAAGACAGAAGCCTTTTCTTACGTAGAAAAATATCTAAGCGCGGCTAAATTTTGCAAAAACACATCTGAAGTCTCCCAAAAGAATGTGGGAAAATGTGTTATGATCAGATGAAATCAAGGTTGAACTTTTTGGCCATAATTCCAAAAGATATGTTTGGCCCAAAAACAATACTGTACATCACCAAAAGAACACCATATCCACAGTGAAGCATGGTGGTGGCAGCATCATGCTTTGGGGCTGTTTTTCTTCAGCTGGAACTGGAGCCTTAGTCAAGGTAGAAGGAATTATGAACAGTTCCAAATACCAGTCAATATTGGCACAAAACCTTCAGGCTTCTGCTAGAAAGCTGAACATGAAGAGGAACTTCATCTTTCAGCATGACAACAACACAAAGCATACGTCCAAATCAACAAAGGAATGGCTTCACCAGAAGAAGATTAATGTTTTGGAATGGCCCAGCCAGAGCCCAGACCTGAATCCGATTGAAAATCTGTGGGGTGATCTGAAGAGGGCTGTGCACAGGAGATGCCCTTGCAATCTGACAGATTTGGAGTATTTTTGCAAGGAAGAGTGGGCAAATATTGCCAAGTCAAGATGTGCTATGCTGATAGACTCATGCCCAAAAACACTAAGTGCTGTAATAAAATCAAAAGGTGTTTCAACAAAGTATTAGTTTAAGGGTGTGCAGACTTATGCAACTATATTATTTTAGTTTTTTAATTTTTACTTCCCTCCACCTAAAAGATTTCAGTTTGTTCTTAAACTGATTTGTACAGTTTATAGGTTACATTGAAGGTGGAAAAAGTTCTGAAATGTAAGTGAAGGTCATACTATTTATTGACTATTTTTGCATAAAATTATTAAAATAATTTTAAACAATAATGGTTAATTGAAAGTACTATATACAGCTTACAAACGTTTGACTCAAATTTGTAACCCTCTTATATAAATGTATATGTTTAATCTCCCATATAGAGTTGATCATGTTACTGTTCTTAGAGTATGGAGGCATTTACAACATTTTTGTCTATGCTGTCTGCCTTTGCTTTATAAAGCCTTTCCCAAAGAATTCATTTTGTTTGCTGTCTTGCTTAGGTTTCTATTCCTAGATTATTATACTTCAGATATGGGCTTTATACACTACAGTGTAGTGTGGGGCACATCTGTTGTTCTCGCTGTTTTCTGTGTATATGGGCAATGTGTTGAACTTTTTTCACAGTGCACTGCCCAAGTTAAGTGAAAAGAAGCAAGCATTCAATGCTTACAAATCACAGCGTGAGAAGGAAGAAAAGGAGGAGACAAGACTTAGAGCTAAAGAAGCAAAAGAGAGGCTACAGCGCTTCCTAGAGCAACATGACAAGATGACTTCAACCACTCGCTACAGGTATGTATGCTTGGTTCAATGTTTGTATTACTTATCTATATATTTACTGTCATGACTAATTCACCTGTGTAGCAGAAAATATCTATTCTTATTTTCATATTTCTGGGTCCCTGATTACTATTCACTGTCCATCAACAGATAGCTTAGACCAGCTTACATATCTAGTGAAATATCATATTGCTAATGAGCTGGTCTTTAGTATGAGCAGTCTCTTAGGATTCTAGCAGGCTTATTCGATATGGCATTGTGCCAAAGTGCAGTATGCCACAAGAGAGAACCATCAAGCATCTTTCATTATACATTTTTCAGTAAATTCAAATCTGATTGAAGTTCTGTGTTGCTTTGCCATGTAAATATGTTGCTCTCTGCATTGTTCACATAGAAGTCCCTGCATTTTTTAGAAGGCATTTTTTAGGGCTGGTGAGAATGCACCTGCTGGTGTGTGGTAGGATGAAAACACTGTCGATTGTAGCACATCGTGGGTTTTTTTTTTTAAATTTACTTTATTGAAATGTCACACAAAGACATTTCATCAATGGAAAGGTGGTGGATTGTGTCACACATCCTTTTTTTTTCCGTGTACACCACCACAATGTGATAGTGTATTTTTCCCCATCTTGCAGTGGGACTGCTTTGGAATAGCTGCCTAATGCAGTACTAGGGGAAATAGGCACTTAACACTCTCGATAATGTGGTGAATAGCAAAACATCTCTTCATGCTATGGGATATACTTACTTATTTTAGTTTAATATGAACCACTTGTGGCTCAGTTATCTGTTTTCACAGGAAAGCTGAACAGATGTTTGGTGATCAGGAAGTGTGGTCTGTTGTTCCAGAGCGAGATCGCAAAGAAATTTATGATGATGTCCTCTTCTTCTTAGCAAAAAAAGAAAAGGTTATGATTTTGATAATCATGTTTATACATTTAATTTGTAGAGTTCCTTAGTTTGTTCATTTAATATACTAAGTTGTTCTTAAAGTTACATTGAAAAACCAAACATGTCCAAGTTTAACTGGTTGACAAAGAACCCTAAACCTACAAAGCAGCAAATGAAAAATACTGTTGTAATTGTTGAACACTGAAATTATTTGTTAAATCACTAAGGCTGAACAATATGGAGATGAAGAAAATGTCTCTACTGTGAACCCAGTTTAACACATTTTTTCACATGAAGTGGAACTTCACTCTCTCAATCAACATGGACTATTTTTAATCCTTATGTTGCTAGCATTAGTAAAAGGATAGGAAAGTATATCATATTGACTTTTTTTTTTACTTTTTTTTTTACAATTTTTCAGTTACTTCCTGGATTCCATGCCTAGGAAAAATGTGTCATACATCCTAGGAGTCTTCAGGAGGGGAGCAAGGGTTCTTAGTTCAGCCGATTCATGAGCTAAGGGCAGATGGATTCCGCAAAGTAAATGCTACATGAATCATTTGCGCTTACTCAAGATGGCCACTGCAGAAATACCAGGGGGCGTTTTTCAAAATGATTTCTCAGCAAAATAAAGCAGTTGGTGACATGGATGGATGGAGGAGTTTGCTTTGAATATTAACAATTAATTAAATAGCATTTTTGGTTTGTGGTGCGCAGATGAATTGCAGTGCCACTTTAATGCATAGATTCTTAGGCCAAATTTAGCAACATCAGCATACACCAGTTAACTTAACATTAGCACTATAACTAATTTGCATACTGAAAACATTTTTTATACATTTTTAATAACTCGTAAAGCTTTTATTTGATATTCTGTTTTAAAAAAAACCTGATCTGTTTTTTTATTATAGGCTGACAAATTTGATGACAAAAATGTAAACAAAATATTTTTTTATTTTTTTAATTTGTCATTATTTTTTAAAACTGTGTTGGTATCTGACAGTTACAGGGACAGGTGAAAATAACAGGTTGAATGCTTATTTCATCACTGAATCCTCCAGCCTGCTTGTGATCACTATGTCACATTTGATATAGTGATCACAAGTTCAGGAACCACTGAGAGACATATGGGATCGGGTCCCAATTGTGGCTCTCAAAGGGACATTGATATACAGATTGTGGGTGGAAAGAGTTAAATTTTACTGTCAACATAGTAGTCACTGTGTGAACAGTAGTGATTGAAGGGGAACTTGGCTAATCATGTTGAAAGCACATTAGTCACATTGATGCTGCTGAATTTGATATATTTCCAGATCCTTTTTGAATGCTTTTTACAAGAGTAAGGGCTTAGTCTACTCGTTGTATTTAACAGTTTACAAGTGTTCAGTCTACTCTTTGTATTTAAAAGCATAGTTTACCTTTATCACAGGAGCAAGCTATTTCTCTGATTCATACCTCCTCACATTCTAAAAGTTTTCTATTCTGGCTTCATGAGGCACGTAAATGATCCACGCCTATAGCAAGGGCAATATTCAACTTTGGTCAAAGTTGCACAGTTTGTTTTTATCTACAGATGCCCAGTATCTGAATTGTCATTTTGTTTTTGGTAAAGGTGAGCTAACCCTTTACCAGTGTACCTCAAAAACTAAACAGTGATAATTCCAAGAAAGTCCTCAGTAATCAACCCTTACTGCTTTTCTGTTCCAGCCATTTAGGGTTTATTATAAAAATAAACAAGGCTTTAAAGGATAAGTTCACGTTTTAGACAAAAATAATAAATGCACATTTTTTTGCAGGTAAAAAATGTGCATTTATTATTTTTGTCTACAGGAGCCTGGAAAGCATTGCACCAGCAATTAGTAGATCGCTGATGCCATGCAGGTCTCCTGCAGACCTGTCAGAATATCTGCTTGCCGTACAGGATGTACATGCAAGCAGATATTCTGACAAGAAGCTTCAATGAACTACCACTGCGCTAACAATGAATGGTAATTCATTGAAAACTACAAGCCGACAGCCGTTAATGCTGTCAGGACTTGCAGTTCATTCATTCACGGAAGTCTGTGAATGAATGATGAGGCCATGTGGGTGGAGCCCCACATGGCCGTGATGTTTTCAAATTTGGCAGATAGTATGGGGAGACTTCTCCCCATATTATCTGTCAGAGGGAGGGGGGGGCAGCGGGCGTCAGGTGCGGCTATGGGAACATGTTACATGTTCCACCCTAAAAACAAGTGGACCATTGAAAATGTTCCCAAAGGTTATCTTATCCTTTAAGGCATTTTTTTATAGCAAACTGGTAAATATAATTTATTAGCAAGACAAAACAAATGGGATTGGCTGCAGTTTAGGATAATCTTTATTGTACTTATCATTTCCATAGTGGATCAGTCCTGTGTGTTACCATCTACCTGCATGGATACACTGAATGAAAGCAGATAGAGCAGTTTGAGGGCTGTTACTGTTATTAACGGAAAATAAACTGAATCAGACAGGCAGCATAATGCATTGTACATTGCTGGCTTTGGGGGATATTTTCAATTTTCTATTGCAGCATGCAGTAATACCGTCCTTCTCCTGTCATTTTAGGAACAGGCAAAGCAGCTAAGGAAACGCAATGTTCAAGCATTGAAGAATATTCTAGATAACATGAGCAATGTCAGCTTTCAAACCACATGGTCAGAAGCCCAGCAGTATCTCATGGATAACCCCATGTTTGCAGAGGATGAGGAGCTGCAGAGTGAGTGTTTCTCACAGACACAAAATGAAAGATAAATTAGTAATAAAACCCACAAAATTTCTACATATTTATAATAATAAATAAGATGCTTTTGTATATGACAGTGTACCATTATCCATCTCTGTATTATTGTCCCTTCTCTAAGCTTAGGGCTGATGACCAACATACTTTATGTTGCTGGAGGAAAAAAAGTCTAAAAACAATTCCTTTGCTTATTTTATTTCCTGACTGTACCTGTCTTCAATCATGGTCTATCAATATTGAGCTCAGGCAGGAGACAGGATGAACCTTTCAGCCTGTCACTCGACCTGTCACTCGACCTGTCACTTCTGCTCCAACAAAGTGAGAATAAATGTAAATAATTAAAAACTAGGAAAACCTGTGGGGTATGGCTGCACTTTCCAAAAGTGGAGTTTCGTATGATAACAAATATCCAATGTGACTTTATTTACTAACGGGAACAGTGCTGATAGCCTTTATCCAAGCTACGCAAACACAGATTTTAAGGCTGCACTAATCCAGGCCTAGAACAGGCTGGCTTTTATTTATCACTTTGAGAACATTCTTTTTACAAAATTGCTATCTGTATTTATTTTTTCATGATACAGCCTTATAACTGACCATCAACAGGAGCAGATTGTGCTGCCTTTATTAACAGCTTCAAATCTCTGTGTATCTTATCATCTTACATTGCCCATCGCAGAAGAAATCAAACTTCTATTAGAAGGCTATGTACTGTTGGCCAGTAAGTCTTTAGTGCATCATACAATGCTGCCACCTTAATGTGTTTTTTAAAATAAAAATTCAGTAATTCTTATTCCAAAAAAGTATAGACAAATAAAAAAAAAAACAAAAAAAAAACAGTTCTTTTGCATTGCACAGTTTTTCCAATGTAACATACTTTTAGGCACTGCTATGAACAGGTACTTTGGCAGCTTACAGGTGGAGCACATAGAGGAAGTTGGCAGTGCGATGTTGAAAGAGCTTCTAAGCTTCAAAAGGAAACAGTGATGTTACCTTGCTGAAGGAGCAGTTCATTATACACTAGTTAGTTTAATTGCATATATAGTTTTATTACAGAATAATTTTCTAAAAAAAAAAGTTTGGTACAGGAAAATAGAGAATAAGTGCACAATCATGACTTGTGATGAAATTGCTAACCACTGCAAGCTTGTATTTCTCATTATTTTACCTTGGGAATATTTTTATTTTAGTAGTAAATATAGCCATTTGTAGATTCAGCACTAGAAGGACCAAACACTCAATTAGCAATCACTTTACTGAGATAAGATCTCTGCCACATAAGGAGTGCATTGTTTTTATGAGTCAGTTGACTCAGACTTGCAGTGTAAAGAGCAGTAATGAAATACAACCATTGCGTGGCACTATAATGCAGGAAGAGTCAAAATACGTCACTGGTTAATATGGTTTTTCCTTGTGCATACATAGTTACAAACTGTATACATAAATACACATTTACAAGCTATATATGTTTTTTTTTTTAAACATTAACACATTGATAACATTTACATTAGTCTGGTATCTTTTACACATTTCTCTAAAAATAATTGAAAAGACTGTACATTACCTATAAATATTGTGTGTTATGACAGGAATTTTCTCATTTTATGATATCTTAAGCATTCGGAAGGAAATATCTCTTTAATGGTTTAAACATGTTCGCAACAAAGGATTTGCATACTCACATTTATACTTGGAAATACAGTAAACTCATGACGTGTATCCATGGATAATGATCATAACAGCAAATGTTACCCATCTCAAAAGAGCATCTCTCTGCATAATTCCTTAATTAACATCATATGCCTATTATATTTTATTAGATATGGATAAAGAAGATGCCCTCATTTGCTTTGAGGAGCATATCAGAGCTCTGGAGAAAGATGAGGTAGTAGATAAAGAGAAAAACCGTCTTCATGAGAGACGGCAGCAGCGCAAAAATCGAGAATCTTTCCAGGTACATCCGAGCCACATTTTTTTTAAATGTGTTATGTTCATCATAAAATGTTATGACATTTCAGGGCTTGACAATTTGAAAATATATTCAGCTGTCACATAAGCAGTGAAAAAGCCAGAATTAACTGTTTGTCATTTACTTCTTGAAAGCAGTTAGATGTTGGCTAACGTTTATGCAAGTTTGCACTTGTTTGATGATGTCACACGTGCTTCTGCACATGGTCTGTTACCAATTTACTTGAATTTTATCCTGCAAGAAATGGGGTTCTCTGGCTATTGACCCAGGTATTTTCTACTTGACTAAGACCCTGACGGTCCTGGTGGATCAGGTCCTGCTTTTTAAAGACTCCACAGATAAGAGGCTAGAGACCTTATTTAAGATGTCTGTTTCTCTGGTGGGTGTGGTGGACGTTTGACAAGCCCTTAAAAAGTAACTCAAGTTTTGTTGAGAAGAAAACAATCCTCTCTGAGTGATCAATGTACACAGCATGGCTTTAAACAAACTTTGTTCCAGATTCCTACTTGTTTCTGTTCGGAAGGAATGACCATTTGTTTGACCCATGTCCTTTGGATACAGATTCTGAATAAAAAGTCCTGTGTGCATCATAATCAGTTTTTTGCACTCTCAGTGCTCAGCCTTGACTGCCTTGATAGATACCTCGAAAGATTCCATATGTCAGCTTTCATGAGTGGGCAACCATGTCTGTCCACATGAGAATGATCCTATGGCTCAAGAAGTGGGTTCTGCCTCCTCCTTGTTCTTTTTACCAGAGTCTGACTCTGCTTTCCTTCTCATCATTCTATTCTGGGTAATTCCTGTATGAAGTTCAGAATACCAGCTGCTATTCGGCTAACTGGTTCTCACTTATGTACATGTTTTCATTGTTTTTGGACATAGATTGGAATTAACAGTGAAGCAAATACCTTTGCTGCATTACGCCTGATGTGAGATGACATACTTGGATATTTGTACTTATTGTATAATTGTGCCTGTATCCTGAATACAACAAGTTAACGGTGGAGTGGAGGATGTCTAAACAGATGCTGGATACCGGAAATTCCTTTTTTCCAAGAACTTGGAAGGTCTTGACAAGTGATGCCAGCCTGTTGGTCTCTGTTCTTGAGAACCTCGTTGCAGGGAACATGGTCTTTAAAGGAGCAGAAGTTCAACATCCTGGAACTTGAACAGGCTCTCCTGCACTGGTCTTACTGCCTTCAGGGTCTCCCTGCCATGGTGCTGTTAGACAATGCCACATCTCTGGCATACATCAACCATCAAGGAAGGACAAAAACCAACACTACTCAGGATGAAGTGGACCTGATCTTGTATTGGGCAGAACTTCCGACTCTCTTCACTGTGTGCATTCCCAGTGTGGAAAAACTGGCAGACTTTCTTAGCCATCCATGGCTGAATCTGGGAGAATGGGCTGTCCTCCTGGAGGAGTTCCCAAAAAAATTTGTGTGCTGGAGGATGTGGATCTTGGTGTCCAGATTCAACAACAAACTGGACAGGTGTTTTCAGTGGATGAACTGGTGATAGCAGAGAACACTGCTGTGAGGCAGGGTAGAGGACACTACACAGTGGGGGGGGGGGGGGGGGGGGTGATGTGAAGGGGACTGAGTAAACTACAGTGGTGGTGGTGGTGGTGGGGGGGGTTGTTGAGAAAAGGACAAGAGACACTGCTTTGGGGGATGGGGAGGCAGAGAACACTTTGTGTGTTGGGGGGGAGGGGCAGAGAACACTGCTATGGGGCAGGGTAGAGAACACTACACATTGGGGGGGGGGGGGGGGGGGGTGATGTGATGGGGGACCGAGGATATTGGTTTTGCGGGTACAGGACACAACTAGGGGTAAGGGGGCAGGGGATACGACAGTGGGTGGGATGTGGTGTGAAGGGAGGCAGAAGACACTGCTCTGGGGGGGGTACAGGACACTACTGTGGGGGGGGGGAGCGGGGCAGAGGGCACTACAGTGGGGGATTGATGAAAAGGGGGCAGAGGACACTACATTGGGGGGGTACCGGACACTACAGTGGGGGGGGTGTTGTTTTTTTTAAGGGCGCCGCCTAGTGGGCCCTTCACCCTGACAACTTCTGTCCTATCTGACAGAGATGGAGGACTCTGGATGTGAATTTCCTGATCTTCAGATTCAACCACACAGTACCTCTGTTTGTAGTCAGGACTAAGGATCCTCAAGCATTGCCATCAAAATTTCTGATAATTCCCTGGACTTCAAGCTAATGTATGCCTTTCTTCCAATGTGAGTTTTGTCTTGACTGCTCCACAAAATATAGCAAGTGAAGAAGCCATTGGTTCTTGTTGCACCAAACTTGCCCATATAGACATACTCACACTGCTAGGACATGTCCCCTGGTCTCATCCAAACAAGCCAAACCTGCTCTCACAGGTTCTCCTATTCCATCTGGCTTCAAGTCACTGGCTTTAATTGCATGACTGTGAAGCCCAGGTATTGAGGGACATATGGGTTCCTGACTCTGTCATTCCTACTTTCTTAAAAACACCTGCACGATCGCCAGACATTCTTTGCAAAGACTGCCTTGAGTTTTTTCCCTCTAGTGTTCAACCTAGTGACTATAACATTGTGCCCTGAAAGCATTGGAAGAGGACCGCTACTGAGAGCAGGGGATTGTGGGACATGTAGTCCGGAGTGTCGAGTCTTGACATGGAGCCAGTGCTGCTGAAAACTACAAGATCCAGCCAGCTGGACAGAAGTGATGAATGCTGGGAGAGGATATATATGGCCTGGCCCAAGAGACGACTCGCTCTCTTGGGACCGCCGTCTGAGGTTGAGAGGAAGGGCCCAACTGCTCAGGGTGTGTAGAGCAGGCCATGCAGCCTAGACAGCGCTGGGAATCTTCAGCGGGTGAGCCACATACCCGCTCGCAGACCGTCAAAATCCAGCCTCCTGTTGTTCAGAGACTGCCTAGGGTCACCCACATCAGCTCCGTGCCAAGCCCAGCAGAGCCTCAGCATGGTCAGGTGCACAGTTCTGACATCTTCCCCGAGAAACAGATTCTTCAAGAGCCAGGACATCTCCATCCCTTGAGCCTCGGTATCTTCAAGATTGGTGAGCAGACATAGGCCCACAGTGAGCAATTTCTTCCTAAAGACACTTCATGCAGACACCTTTACACTTCATCCTCCTGTACCACCAAGCTTCTAGCAGGGAACATTTCTTGCTGGTTGCCATTGCACAGCAACTCCTCGTGATCTTGACTGAGCTAGATGAATATTTTGGACACCTTCCATTGCCAAGACCTTTCCTCTCTTGTCTTCATATCTTAACTTAACCGCTCCGCCCCTCCGCCGCTCTGAGCTGCACGCTCTCGGTGTGCCTGTGTCCCCTGGACACAGTGGAACGCCGCTTGGCAGAAGGGCTCTCTGCTTGGCCATTCTGATCACATGATGGCTGTGTTCAATCACAGCCATCATGTAATGTCAATACAGCCGCCATTCAGTTGATCTTCTCTGTCTCTCCTCACACAGCCCGGTAGTGAGGAGAAGCAGAGCCAATCTGTGTAAAACTGTGAGTTACACACAACCATCACCCAATAGTGTCCCCCACACAGCTCTCAGTGCACTAGTGATCTGCATCTGTCACACAGTACCAGTGATCCACATCTGTCACACAGTACCAGTGATCAACATCTGTCACATAGTACCAGTAGTCATCCACATCTGTACCAGTGATCCAAAACTGTCATGGCGTACCAGTGCAAAACCCACATCTGTACCAGTGATCAATATCTGTCACAGTGTACCAATGTAAATTCTACATCTGTACCAGTGATTCACATCTGTCACAGCATACCAGTATAAATTCTACATCTGTACCAGTGATCCACATCTGTCATGGCATACCAGTGATCCACATCTGTCACTATGTACCAGTGATCCTTATCTGTCACTGCATACCAGTGTAAAATCCACATCTGTACCAGTGATCCACATCTGTCACGACATACCAGTGTACAATCCACATCTGTACCAGTGATCCACATCTGTCACGGTGTACCAGTGTAAAATTCCACATCTGTACTAGTTATCTACATCTGTACCAGTGATCCACATCTGTCATGGTGTACCAGTGTAAAATTCACATCTGTACCAGTGATCCACATCTGTCACGGTGTATCAGTGCTCATCCACTTCTGTACCAGTGATCAACATGTGTCATGGCCTACCAGTGTCATATCCACATTTGTCACAGTGTAACAGTGCTCATCCACTTCTATACCAGTGATCAAAATCTGTCACTGCCTAACAGTGTCAAATCCACATCTGTCACAGTTTACCAGTGCTCAATATCTGTCACACAGTTCTAGTGTAATATCCAGATCAGTACCAGTGAATAACATCTGCCAGAGTGTACCTTAGTAAAATCCACACCTGTAACAGTGATCAATATCTGTCATAGTTACTTAGTTATATAGTTAGTCTGGTTGAAAAAAGCCAAAGTCCATGCAGTTCAACCATAAAAAAAGAAAAAAAAAATTATAATCCTATACCCACAGTGTCAAATCCACATCTGTACCAGTGATCAATATCTGTCACAGAGTATCAGTGTCAAATCCACATCTGTACCAGTGAACATCAAAATGTCTAAAAAAAATTATACACCAGTGAGGAGGCTTTCCAGATACTGAGTATGACAGACGAGATTAGCGGGGAACTGTCTCTGTCAGACTCATAATCTCAGATTCTGAGTATGAGCCAGTTGAAAGCAGTGGGTCAGCAACAGATTCTGAGGAGGAGAGAGTCCAAACAAAGAGGTTTATGAGATCTGAGATCATGCAGTAGCGCAGTGGCAAGTACAAGCAGTGCAGCACTCCCAGAAGATAGGCAGGCATCCACCAGTAGCGTTACAAATCCTGGTGCCATAGTGAGTACAAGCAGGGCCACATTGCCAGATGATAGGCCAGGCACTAGTAGCAGGGTTTCCTGTCCACAACATGGTAGGGCCCATACTAACCTCCCAGA